CCAGCCTGGGCCGCGCCTCCTCCCCCCACACTCCCCCTTACCTGCTTCAGGCTTCCCGCGAATTAAATGTTCGCGGGAAGCAGGGGAGGGGGCGGAGACTTTGGGGAGGGGGCGGGGGCGGGGCTGGGGGCGGGGCCCTGTGGAGTGTCCTCCATTTGGAGGCACAAAATATGGTAACCCTAAATAAGAGGAAGAAAAAGGAAATTGAAATATTAAAGCTCCCATCTTACATGATATCCATGTAAACAGACCCTTATGTCTGCATGGATCCAGTTTGCGGGATCAGGCCCTATGTTAAATTTTTTTTTAATTAAAATGGAGATCTATTTTTTTCCACTGAGTAGCTGAAAATTTAATGAGCTTATTTTTAAAAAAATAATACTTTCATTCAACAGAACAGAGAGAATTCTGGGCATCTCTTGGGAATTACCTTGGTTGACAGTTAAAGTTTTAAGTACTTCTCTTTGCAATCTCTTGTATTCTAGTTGTGTCTTCTGTAAGGCTGATGAGCTGTTCACAGAATATGAGTCAAAGCTGTTCTCTCATACGTGAGTACTTCACTCTTATTTTTGTGGTTTAAGGAAAATTTTGTTTTGTAAGTTAAAGTTTTAAATATAAACATCCTAAGTTGTCTAAAACCTTTATTTCAGGAGCAAACTATTTCAACATATTCTTGCAAAGAGAGTCAGTATCAATGTTCATAGGCATTGATACTGTCACTTTTATATGCATGTTTCATTTAAAAAAAACACTTTTGTAAAATAAACAAATAAGAAGTGCTGTTTTCTCATTCAGGGTTTATGATTTGAAAGATCACAGAGCTAAATTTTCAAAATGTTCCCAGCTTCTTAATATGCAGATTTTGTAATGGTATGTTCAGCTATACAGTCTGTATGGGCAAATGCTCTTTTGTATGCATGCAAGTCAGAAGTCTTCAGAGAACATGGCTGTTTGTAACTTTTAATTTCTCTAAGTAAGCATACAGTCTGATAAATTAGAATCTGTGTTGGGGTAGCAGACTTTGAGCCAAGGTTCCTCCTCTGCATCTCTTTGCTGTCAGTCCAGGGAGAAGTTAAATATACAGAAGTGCTATTTTAAAAAAATATTTTTTTTACACTTGACACTTCCAGTGTCCTTAATAACCACTCTAAGTATGATGTCTAAGGCTTTGAAAGAGCTAGTATTGAGTGCATAGCTGACAAGGTGGCCTGCACAGTATTCATACTACCAGTATCTAACACACTGCTTTCAAGGCTCTGTGGGATAACCATAATTTAAAAGCAGACACACAAACCAAAACTGTTTTTTCCCTATTTTAAATTATGAATATGTTCTAAACCAGAAGTGTAAGACTTGATGTTAACCAGAATGTGAATAGTACCACAGGCTGCTTAAATTTGTTAGTCCTGGATGATTATTTTTATTTTGCCTTGTTAATATATCCTGATTGTCAATGTGGCCATGTTTTGGGGTTCACAACAAATAAATAGCAAACAGTGTGGTAGTTACATATATTTACATTGCTATATTTATATATTTAAGGTATGTATATACCTAAGGTATGTATATACCTTAAATATAGCAAATGTGTATATATAAATGTAAATATAGCTCTGTGAGTGTGTGTGTGTGTAAGATGCGTATATATCTTGAGAAGCTAGTGACCAGTATTATGCTTTGGTGTATTTTAAGTGTGAAAGGCCAGATGGCTATCTTCGAAGAGATGATAGAAGATGAAGAAGGGCTGGTTGATGACCGTTTGCCCACCACAAGTCGAGGACTATGGGCCGCAAGTGAGACAGAGCGCTCCCTAAAAGCCATACTGTCTTTTGCCAAAGCTCACCGAATGGATGTTAGACTAATTGAAGAAGGGAATACATTTCTGGAACTCTTTGAAGCATGGAAGAAGGAGTACAAGGTACAACACATAAGATTTTGAAGAAACATTGCAGAAGTGTATTATATGTAACATGAACATAAGACAAAATTTTCAATTTAGATGCCTAAAGTTAGGACTTGTCTACATGTAGATTTTGCACAGATTTAACATTTACCAAAGCAAGCTATACTGATATACACACTTCTATATCAGTATAATTGCTTCTATTGCAGACTAAACCAGTTAATCAGGCTTTCCTGATTTAGTTCTGTATTTAGTAGGGGTCACCAAATCAGATGTCTGGCCCATCCATTGCCTCAATTTACCTTCTGTCTCATATCAATCAAACCACCACACCTGGTGTTTTCACAGTACTGTTCCCCTTTTGGGGATAATTTATTATTTTAAAATAACAAAACCATACAGCCCTCGCCCCGGGGCTCATTTAGTCCTTTTGGTTTATAACAAGCTTCAGCATACATTTAGCCCTCCCTCTAGACTCAAAAAATCGTTTACCACAGCTTCACCTTCTGTGACTCTGGGAGCCCCTTCATGCCCACTGGCAAAGGGTAGCTATACTGTAACACATGTCACGCCTGACCCACTCATTACCCCCAACACAATGTTGTCATAATATGTATCTAAAAGGTGTCATGTAAGGTATCATATCTAAACTGATGACATGGTGGTCCTGAAAATCATTGCATGGTGTGTGTACGGGTTGTGTACAAAGACTTTTATATGTGTGTGCTGGAAATATGTTCCTAAAATGTGCTTGGGACGCAGTGTGCACATCGAGCCTATAGATGTGGATTCCCCTGTCTTACTGGCTTGATTACAGACAGAGGACAATGAAGGTATATTTACATGTAAGGTAGACAAAGTAATAAGCAATGGAGGAAGGAGCTTAGTAAGCTCACCGAAGGGTCAGAATCTGCCCCTCCAGGAAGCCTCCTTGGCTCTTAAGGCAGAGACAATGGACTTTGGGTAATATAAGGGGAGCATAAAGACATTTTAGTGATCCGTCATGTAGGCAACATAGGGTACAGCACCCTCTGAGCCTGTGAAAGTTTGATCCCCTAGGTTGGAGGGATAGAGATGCTGGTAACTGGATGTAAATAAGAAAACTGCTTAGGCAACAATTGTAATTTTCTAAAATTAAGTTTTAGTCACTAGAAAGGATGTTTTGTTAACCATACCTGTCTCTTTCTCTGGCTTAGTATCACTTAAATCTCTGTTCTTCATTAATAAGCTTATTCTTGTTTTATTACAAACCCATCTCAGTGCTCTGTGTTAAAATGTAAGTCTTCAGCTAGTATGTACACTGTTTTGAGTATCACAGGGAGATTGACTGGACACTGCAGAGAGACATCTCGGGGGAGCTCAGGAACTAGGATTCACTTATTGTTACCTGCAAGGCAAGTTTTAGACTGGCAAAGTCTCAAGGAATTTGTTGGTAAGATCGACAGACTGGAGTGTCAGGGAGCTGATACACAGCTTAACAGCAGCAAAGCTCTCACTTGCTGAGGCAGAGGGGTAACCCAGTGGCTTAAAGTTCTGGGTGTCCTGAGCAGAACATCACACCTTCCTTATAATCCTCCCACGAGGTTCACTGCTTTGCAGGGGGGCATGGATCGCACTTTCCGTCAGTACCTGACCCGGGCCAAGGAAGCTAAGGATCCAACCAGTGGACCAAATTTGGTGATGAATCCTGGTCATGTGGCACGTTGCGTATACTCTAAGAAGATGATTCCGTTGCAGCCCCCTTAGCTGGAGCTTCTCTTTCAGCAGATTCCTGCTTCCTGTTGGTCTCTCGCCCAGGCCTTTTGTCTTCTAGTTCTGGAGAATTTTCACCCACTTCTTCCCAGCATGCTCCCCAAATTCTCACTGACTGAAGCCAGGCTGCCCTTATATTCCCCAGCAGGACTAGTTCCTAGTCACATGTTCCCATCACAGGTGAGACTGAACTCACGACTACTTCAGAGAGCCATCTTACTCTGTGACACTGCAGAAACTGTACACAAGCTCTCAGGCATCTAAAACAATATTTAAGCACCTGATTTTCAGAGATACTGAGCACTCTGTAAATCCCACATGTTCTCTGAAAATCAGGCCACTTTTATTAATTGATTTGAAAATGTTGGTAATAGTTCTTTTTCATGCTTCACTATTATATGTGCAGAATTTAGTGCAGTTGGCACAGAGAGAACTATATTCCTGACATGAGCCACTCATTTGTGGCATTAGTGCATTTCTTCTGTTGTGAGAACAAATAGTATCTTCATGTTCTATTGCTTTGGGAGGCAGAAGGAGGGCTAATATTGCCAATGAAAATGCAAATAGTACATTTGTGATTCCATCTGGCCTGCCCTGGCAACATTGATTCAATTGACTGTGCTACTCAAAACCACTTTGAGCTGGGAGAGCACTGCTACATGTATTGTAGCCCTCATGTATCTAGAACTAACTTTTCAGTTAATGATCTCAACAGACCTTCTTTGACCCTACTCTGAAATATAATGCTGCATTTAAGCAAAGGACAGATAATGTCAGTTTGCTCTAGGATTCATTATTTACGTTGTATAAATGTAGATGTTTTGGCAATGCCAGTTCTTTGCAGACAAGGATGGAATGGGAAATGTACGTGTTTCTTTTCTAATCACGCAGATTGGCTTGACAGCTTTATTTAAAATTGTGAAGACTTGCCCAGTGTGGACAAAACACTTAACTTGCTTAAACACTCACTTAGAGAAGAAAGCCAAAGTAACTGCATGCTTTTACATAAGAACATAAGAATGGCCGTACTGGGTCAGACCAAAGGTCCATCTAGCCCAGTATCCTGTCTACCGACAGTGGCCAACGCCAGGTGCCCCAGAGGGAGTGATCCTAACAGGTAATGATCAAGTGATCTCTCTCCTGCCATCCATCTCCACCCTCTGACAAACAGAGTCTAGGGACACCATTCCTTACCCATCGTGGCTAATAGCCATTAATGGACTTCACCACCATGAATTTATTCAGTTCTCTTTTAAACACTGTTATAGTTTTAGCCTTCACAATCTCCTCAGGTAAGGAGTTCCACAAGTTGACAGTGCGCTGTGTGAAGAAGAACTTCCTTTTATTTGTTTTAAACCTGCTGCCTATTAGTTTCATTTAGTGACCCCTAGTTCTTTTATTATGGGAATAAGTAAATAACTTATCTACTTTATCCACATCACTCATAATTTTATATACCTCTATCATATCCCCCTTTAGTCTCCTCTTTTCCAAGCTGAAAAGTCCTAGGCTCTTTAATCTCTCCTCATATGGGACCCTCTCCAAACCCCTAATCATTTTAGGTGCCCTTCTCTGAACCTTTTCTAGTGCCAGTATATCTTTTTTGAGATGAGGAGACCACATCTGTACGCAGTATTCAAGATGTGGGTGTACCATTGATTTATATAAGGGC